CTTAACCGAATTATTAATGACTACTTAATCAAAATAAAAATTAAAATATTTTTTATTTTTAATTTTATTATCTATTTAATCAAAATGACGTAGTTTTGAGGGTCAACTTGCAAAAAGACTAGTATATAAGTATATAACGAGCATGTCAACATGCAAAGCGTGTCATAAAAAGGACTAATATTTTTAAATGTACCAAACTCGTATGGCTTACATCTTTAGAATTGGTTAGGATATAAAAATAACTATTTTAATACTAAGTTTCAGTGAAAATTATTAAAATAAGATAAATAATACTCAATATATATCCCATGATATTATTTCTGTAGATTTGGCTTTTCATGAATAAAGAATAATTAATTAAATAAATCACTGTTGTATAACTAAATATTGTCTTGCTTGCATAAAAATTGCACTTTAAAATGGACGGTTGGATTTAAAATACAATTATTACTCCCACTGTTCCAAAATATTAATAGTTTAAGATTTTTTTATGGGTATTAAGAAAACAATTAATTCTTTTAAGGCCAAATATATAAATTCACCTCTGAAATTTATTACTTTAACCTTGTGGCACCCTCAACTTTTATTTTGGTCCATCAAACACTTCAACTTATAAAATTATACTTATTGAACACTTCAATTTTCAAATTTATTTCATTGAACACTTTGACTTGCAAAATTAGATCCATTAAGCACTCATTAAAAAGTTGGAATTTATGCATATTATTTTGCAAAAGTCATTCTAACTACATATCAAGTTGATATTTTGCAGATAAAATGCAAAACCCTAAAAATGATTGATATTAGTGTCAAACAGTGTGTAATATTACCAAAATTTACAAATTCAGGTGTATGATAGGTCATCCGTAAAGTTCAGAGTGCCACAAGATTAAAGTTGCAAAGTTCAAGGGGGAGTTTATGTGTTCAGCCATCCTCTAAATCCTAATGGAATCAAGAGTAACTTAATCAAATTACCATTCATCTCACATCATTACTTCTTCTCACACTATTAAAATACTCAAAACGACTCATATTTTGGAATAAAATTATCATCCTAAAACAATTTATTTTTTGAGATGGAGAGAGTAGATAGAAGTTATAAAAGTAAAATTACATTGAGATTAAATGAAATTTTGAATTGAATTAGGTGTGATTTGATCGTCTTTTCACTTATATAAGAAATGAAAAATCTCGAATTTTTTACCATAATAGTTTTTATCAATTTAGTGAATTAAGGAGAAAGTTATTCTTATATTGTAGCTCGGAGTGTATTTCAATTCATTTGGCATCTAAATGAATGAAAAAAAATTAAAATTCTGAATAGGGGTCGAATGTTACCATATTAGCATGGTATATTAGTAGGGGTTGAGTGTTACCATATTAGCATGGTATATCCAATCCATTGCTTACAGTACATAGTAAATGGTCTAATGTATAAATTCACCCATAAAATTTACGCGATTTGCCTTGTGATACTAAGTTTGTAGAAAATCTATAATGACCCTACATTTTCACACTTTAATTAGTAATAATTATGTCCCACTAAAATAAAATATAAAAATGCAGGATCATAATTGAACTCTATAAAATTATATTATTTTTACAAAAGACATTATTATTATTTAAATGTGAAAATGTATGATGATGGTAGGCTCTTTGTAAACTTGAAAAACAAATCTATGTACGTGGCCCATAGTACATGCATCAATTAAATTGTATAACAACACGGCTCCTACTTGAGTCGTGATGCATATACCACGCAGTATCTCTTCTTCTTCTTCCTTCCTTCTTTTTTTTTTTTTTTTTTTGCCATTGCAAAATCTCCGGGCGGAGGCTGATCCACAAAAAAGGTACCCAAGGGGATGCTAATCCACAAAATCCCATTGCAAATAGCCATTACATTTAGTATCTCTCTTTTTGATCGTCTTGTCAATTGTCATTCAAGCTCTTGATTATGAAAAATAATTTATTTTTCAAAAATAATAAACATTTTAGTTTATGACACTACAAAATATTTAAATTTATAAATATTTGCTTTTAAAATTTTATTATTATATAAAAATATAGAAACTATAGTTTGATAATAATAGTAGCCAATAATTAAGGGTGATGATCGATAATAACACTTGACTAATCTTAATTATCAATTGTCGGTAATTGATGTGTTGATAACTATGTGTTTATGAATTTGTCAACCCTGAAAAAATGCTTTGCTCCTAAAAAAACAAGTCATTTTTTCAAATGATTTAATTTTTCTTTAGAACAAGACAAAATTTTTCCTACTTTTTTTAAAAAAATGTCAAAAGGTGGTATTTAGGGCATGGGCAATGTCGATGTCAAAGGACACGGACATAATTATTAAGATCTTCTTTGTTTATGGATAGAAAATATAAATTCATCTCTTAATTTTGTTATTTTAATTTTTATAGTATTCTTAACTTTTATTTTGATCCATCAAACACTTCAATTTATAAAACTATATTTATTAAATTCTTCGATTTTCAAATTTATTAAAAACTTCAACTTGTAAAATTAGATTAATTAAACACCAATTAAAAAGTTGAAATTTATGAAAATTATTTTATTGTTTTTCAAAGTCATGCCAAATAATATCAAAGTCACGACTAAATTATCAGATAAAAGCCAAACCCCGAAAGTTTTGATATTAATGTCTAATGTCTATAAATTTTTTCAAATTTACAATTTCGATTACCAATGATAGGTATTTGTAACATATAAGAATACCATAAGATCTTAAATTATAAAATTTAGAGGTTGAAATTCATATAATTTTACGATCAGTTTGAGAGTGCTTTAAATGGTGAAATTATTGTACTTAATCTAGACGAGGGCTTGCCGCCTACAAGGGACCTATAAGAGTAGTGATTTAATATCTTTAGACCAAAACACTTGCCAGACAACTACCCTTGAATCATAATTCCGAGGTATTTCACTCTTCACGCATGGAGAATAATAAGACCAAGAACTATTTCTTTCGGGGAAAAATTCAAGAAAGAAACATTTTAGTCTTTTAACTTTTCTTTCTTGACAAAAATCAATTTAGGATTTTACTTAAACAAATTCTCCGATTAAAGACGAAACCCCTTCTCTAAAAATGATCTTCATGAAAACAAAAAAAAAAAAAAAAAAAAATGTGATCTCATGAGCTTGATAAAACACATGGATCTTTAAAGTAATCGGCTAAATTAATTTTCTGAATTTTTTTTATTTGGTTTAATTATCCAAGAATTTATTGTTCATGTTGAATACAAAAATTTTGAACCATTCATTTTAATGATGGAAACCTAACTCTATATAAGATGAAAACAGACCAAATATGAGAAGAAAACACAAAAAAGAAAACTACAAATAAAAATAATAGTGGTAAATCTAAGAACAAACATAAGAAAAAGACAATTAAAGAAAAACAAGATATAGACTGACAAATCTAAAGTTTATTCAGAAACAACCAAAAAAAAATCTAAAAGAAAATAAAGAAAATAAGGAGAAAAGACGAAGAAGAAGAAAAAGTATTCCAAAAAAAAAAAAAAAAAAAGAAGAAGAAACAAAGAAAAAAACAGAAAGACACAATCGAAAAGATAAGCGAAGGAAGGAGATCTAGCTAAAAGTCCTGATGTCTCCTTCCCAAATCTAACAATAGGTGTTTAGACAAAATAAGTTACATTCTATGAAATTGATAAAATTACATTTATAACCTCAAGTGCATCATTTTAAAAGAGATGTAAATTATTTTTTTTATTTTATTTATTAATAATAAAATTTAAACCAATTAAATAGTGGAACTTCAAATTTAATTTTCATACATTTCTTACATATTCCATCTCTATAAACCACTTTTGTAATATTCCCTCCAAACCACTTCTGTAATACTGCCTCGTACCAAATTGATAGACGCTTTTTATTTTTTATTTATTCCAAATTATAGCCCACTTACTATTTTAATAAGTTAATTAATATATTAAATCTCGATTACACACATATTTAATATTACTTTGTTAAAATTAATTTTGTTATTTTTATCAATTACTCTTTATTTTTCAATGTCATTATTTATTAACGAACACTTTAAAAATTAAAAATGTGGACCGTGGTTCAATTGGCAATACAGACGAGACATTTTATAAGATTTTTGTGCTCAATCCTCAATAAACTCATCGTCGAGGAGGGACAAAGAATCTTAATTATGACAACCTCAAGCCAGATTAGGCAGTCCCTTATAATAATGTCCGAATATCAGCGATTTACACAAAAAAAAAATTTTGAAAATGTGAATATTTACTAAATTAAGTCATTCTCAATGCATATTAACCGGCCTTAGATAATTAATTAATTTTGATTGATGTAAAAAGTCAATAATAGATATATCTCATATAAAAGTAAGACTATAAATAGAAAAATACATGCAAATTTACATTTCTAACTAAAATAACTGTTTTTTTTTTTCTTGTGAAATATAAAATATGCCTCAATGTTTTTTTTTTATTATTATTCTTGTGAAATAGAAAATGTAACTATCGGAAGTAACAAATTAGATGCAATAAAACATACATCGATTCCATTGCACATGGAGTAAGCCGTTGGGATAGTGTAGTATGATAAATGCAATTTAATGCCATACATATCTAATTTCAGAGGATAAAGCCCATGGAAATTAACTCTCAATCGTAGCTAAAAAATTAAGAATTACAAATCACTATATTTTAGCTTCTTGATACAAATACAAATTAAATTAATATTCCCTTTGTCCCTTTTTATTTATTATCTCAAAATGTTTGCGAATTTCCAAATTTATGCATCTAAACAATACTTTTTCGATAATAAATTTTATAGTTATTCATTAAATAAAAGACTTTTATTAATATTTTAATGAATTAAAGTGAAAAGAATAAAATAATTTTTATTGACTAAATCTTTATTATAAATATTTTGTCAAGCCATACAAACAAAATAAAAAAAAAAAAAAAAAAAAAAAAAAAAAAAAAAAAAAAAGAACTCATTTCTCATCTTATATCCAATACATCCTCTCAATGAAGTAGAATACACCACACCATTACATCATACATCCAAATCAATTTTGTTCTTGTTTGATGATACAAGTAAAAAAATTAACAAAAAGGGGAAAAATCAGAATTTTACTTTTACACTTTCTTTTGCAAGTGAAATAATAGCTTCAAAAAAACGAGCTATTATTTTCCTCGATGGGTCATGCAACCATTGATTGCAAGTAATATAGGTTTACATCAAGATTCGGAGCACAGCAAGACCAACAGCAGATATGGAGACAAGGGTACCTATGCAGTACTTTATCACATCATATTTTGCACCTTCCAATTGGGCTCTTAATGCATGAATTTCCTGAATTATGTTTTAGAAAACCAAAAATGTCAATAATGCAATCACCTATATTTCACAATATCCCAATTTCACTCGCAACTCACCCTGTCAAGTTTGTTCGTAAGGTTAGATGTTTCAGCATTCTGATTTGCCAGCTCATCCCGAATCCTCCTGCATTCGGTAGAAAACCACAGGTCAAAACACCGAGTCAGTGATTAGATTTCAGAAATACCATATTGGTAGTCCGTCGCTTTCCTTACCCTCTTTCAAGATTCAAATCTAATCGTTGTCCAGCAGTCACTTTGTCAATTTCATGCCTGCAGCATAACAATTGGCTTAGCAATGTTAATGTCCTGACATATGAAACTGAAACGCAAATGGTACTAACAAATAGGCATAACTTGAGAGTGGTAACTCTAAATCAAACCTCAATTCACTGCGCATCTTCTCAATATCATTCCGAAGCTTTTCAGTCTCATGTTGCAACAAAGAAAAATGATGTTCCTGTAAATATTTTTCAGATAATTTTAGAGAACCATATATTGGAAATTTAATTAGTCTATTACGCTCTATATCACAAGAATTGTTGAGATCTGATAACAAAACATGCCCATACATAGTGGAAGTATACTGTTTTCTTCCTTATATTTGTTTCGAGGAGAATGTTCAAATCAAAATGAAAAGGCTAAAAGAAGTAGCATGTAGTTTAGTGCACTGACAATTTATGTCTTGCATCAGCATATACCTCATTTTTTCTGCCATTACCACTTCATTGATTTTTGCTGATGTGCTAACATGAATCAAATAATATGTTTTACTTAAAACAGCATCCACATTAGATAAAAAATGTGTTCGTAATTAGAATATAAATAAGTGAACGACAAAAGGAAAATAAAAAATAATATTTTCAAACGGAAAATATTCTTCCTCTCCATAATCCGCATTTGAACCCATTCATTCTCTCATCACAACTAAGAAAACCCCAAAAGATGTGATCTGCCATGGATCACAACTATGAATCATTCAGCCACCTCACCACTTATTTTCCCTTGATCTCTCCTCCTCTCTCGATCCCAACCCAAAAGAAAGCCTGAATTTTATTCTTTACAGCCCCCTCATCCTTTATTAGCCACTAACACAATAGACCTGGTTCTGCTTCTCTTTCTTTAAGTTCAATTTAATCTTTTATTCTACATATTATCCTCCAAAACTTCAATTTTCTCCATTCCTCAATCACTGACATGTGGCCTTATAGATTCTCACCTTCTATTTACTGCTGGACTCATAATATTGACTTTATTGCTACTCTGCATCTACAAGTAATTGCCAAAAGAAGTGTTACACCATGGCTTTTATTTTCTATCAAATATCAGTCAACTCAAACAGGTCCCGACACAAAAGGTGATCAAATTGCTTGACGGACTCATCTGTAGTTAATTTATGATATTCATACATATTTATTTGGTCATGAAACCATATTATTATATGGTTATTTAAAAGAAAAGAGTCATCATCTGCTGGGTGTTTGATCTTTTTGAGTTTTAAGACCTCAATAACCGAGTAAGAAGAGACTGGATGAACAGTTTCTTGTTAGCTTTATAACATTTTTATTTTTCTTTCATCATTAAGTATTAGTTTCCATAAATACTAATTCTTTTTTAAAGAAAATTTGTTGTTTCATCTCATACAGGTGTAACTATTCTAAGTTGCAACTAACATATTTGGAAAAAATTATTATTTAATCCATGTCAGTGCCATATCAACACAATGTACTATAGTTTTGACAATAGAAATAATAAATGCGAAAGAGACGATAAACACACACGTGACTTTATGTGTCAATGAACTATACCACAAGGTCACTTTTTGAACTTTTCCCTTACAAGATAAGCTATGCCAGACTTCTCTTTCATTCTTCATCATGTGGTCTCAAAAGAGAAGCCTTTACCAATAATTCTTCCATTTTTACCCAAACTATTCCTAGAGCCAAAAATTCAGAGCAATTGTCATAGTTTCATAAAGCAGTACATAAGGAAAAAAAAACAATATATAGCAAGTAGAAAAATATGCAATTTTTTTTTTCTTGGCAGTTTTCTCAACCTTCTTTCACTTTTCCTTTTTGTACGAGTGCAATTAAAAGCATATTAACACCACATAATAGCTGCATGGAGGCTGATCTAGCAGAAGTGCTTTTACACACCCATAAACCCCCCAAACTCCCTGCATGGGCAGCTCCTCTCACTCTTGCAGACTAAATATGCAACCAGCTGCTTCCTCTCTTTCCCTCCCCTCAACATTCAGTCTCTCTCCTCAAAAAAAATTCATTCGAAGACCCCATCCCAACTTCTAAGCACCTAAACATACTTTTACCATGATTTCAAGCATCAACTTGTAAATACCGAGCAGTTTACCACAAAAGAGAAGACTCTAAGATCAATAGCTAATAAGACAACCTTTATACAGAAAAAACAAGAACTTAATAACAACTTCAAAATCACTGGCTAATAAGAATACACATGCAGAAATCACTAGCGAATTAATGGGAGACATAGAACGTTTCAATTTAAGAACAAATATTGATGAGAATCCCACATTGGTTAGCTAGGAAGGATCCTCGCTGTTAATAAGTTGAGGGGTAGACCTCACTTTATGAGCTAGCTTGGGAGCTGAGTTAGGCTTCTCATACTTAAGTTGGTATTAGAGCAAGCCCAGTCTGGTCAATTGTGGGCTCATCGACGGTTCTTGTGCAAGTGCGCAGTGAGTTGGGCTTCTCTAAGCAATGCATCCATTGTAATAGTCATAAGGAAACATAACAGAGAAACTTTTTTTTAAAAAAAATGAAGAAGAAGAAGAAAGGATGAGACAGAGAGAGAGGATGGAAGAGAGGAAACAAATATTAGGGAAATAAGGAGGAAGGGATACTACTTCTATTGCAGCAAGAAAGCATTACAAGTTCAAAATTACTAAACTGTTCAAGTGAAATATTGCAAATGGTTCATAGCTAGAGTCTTAAGTTAGGCTGCAATAGTTTAGAGCTTCACACATGATTAGCTATTGCCTATTGGAGCAATATAAAGCAATTCTTTTCACTCGAAAGCTTGTAATTGTAAAGCATGAGATCAAGAGTGAAATAAGTATAATTCATCACCTAAAAAACACCTTGGACTCAAAAGATTTAGAACATGTGGTCATTATCAAGTACATCTGCAAAATGCCATTTTCTTTCCTCCATAATTTGATGAATACTATCCTTCATCTTCCTCCCTTATTTTGTTTTTTCTCCTTCCCAAAGATACACTTAGAGACGCAGTTCTTCATCCCGTATTTTTTTTTTTCTACTTTAGTTTCCCCCAATTCTACCATCTTTACTCTTCCCTTGCTTTAACTCTAAATTCTTTCCTCTTCCATTCACCAATGTCTCCTTTCATTATTATTATTTTTTTTTTCCAATCGAATTCTAAGAAACCTAGAATATTGTGTCCCTCACTCATAAGGACCCTATTCAACAAGGTTCTATGCATGCTTTGGCTTAGAGTAATTCAAGAAGTTTTCAAACGAAAATGCAAATTGAAATCTGAAACAATTTAACTTCAGAAATTTTCAAACTGCAAATTGAAGTTTTCAAGGTCCTTAGCAAATTGTAATCAATAAAATTTTCAAACAGAAGGGACCAATTTAACTAGAGAAAACAATAATAAGACACTATTGATTTGGTGGGTTGTGTGTGTGTGTGTGTGTGTGTGTGTGTGTGTGTGTGTGTGTAATCTAAAACAAGCATATCCAATATACTTCAACAATATCAAATACCACCCAAAATATACATATATCTAAAAATTCTAAAAGAATTAGGTTTCTTTATGTCCTAGGTTTTAATGCATTATACATACTTTTACAACTAAATGAGGATAGGTTAGTAAAATAGTTTTATATATAACAATTCACAGCGCAATTTGGTCCCATTTTCTTTTTTCTTCATGAACCAAACCAGGCTGAATTGTTTCAATACCAAATGAGCGAAATTGTCTAATTCAATACAGCACGCATTGGTTTGACAGTTTGAAACTAAATACCAGAAGGGGATTGCATTCTCTCTGTACTTGATCTCTAATTCTTTGATTTTCCAATATTTCTCCTTAAGCCTAGTGCTGTATCAATATTTAAGTAGACATGGTTCTAAGCAATTTGATCAGGTTTATTCTTCTTTAACGCATTTCAGAAGAAGGCCAATGAAGAGAAATGAGCCCCATCATTTCCCACCCTATCCCCACATACATAGCAGCCTTCACAATCAATAAACAGGGCTACAATTCCTGATAAGAATGACAAACATAAAATTGAATGTATATCCCTGGGGCTTAGATTCCCTTCCTTATACCAAGATTGCTTGAGTTGAATTAGTTGAGTTTAGTACTAACAAATATAAGAGAGAAGCTGCTTTTTAGTTTGAAAGACAATAAAGTCGGTTGCCAAGTAGGGTAGGCTTTGGGCTTGCTCACCCTACACCAAAATGAAATAGCATAGCCTCCTAAAGAAAGCCTCCAAAAATAGTATTCAGGAAGCTAAGGTTACAAAGCAAGTTGTACACAGGAGTCTGACTTCAACATGTTGTTAAGCATATTAATTTTCCTCTCTTTGTGAAAAAAGGTTGAGCTTCTTCTCTTTCTTTGTTTCCTAGACATGAGAAATCCTACCCTTCTCATTATCAAGGCCGACTCACTTCTTGAGAAGGTCAGCATAGAAAGGACTTGGATAAAGAGGCAGAAGTGACAACAAAGAAAATATTCTTCACAATAGCAGGTATAACTGACTATATAGGACACCAAAATATTATCTACGATAACTGCTGCATCCATACTTAATCGATGTATATAATACCAAATTAATATTTCTCAGCTCTAATGACAACGGAAGTAACTCATAATTTATGAAGACTAATTACAACAGTTCCATTAACTAATTTTAAGTGAACCTTCACCTTGGACTGCCAACTGATTTTTAGTACTTGGTATGAATGGTCATTCCTTGAACCATAAATTTCAATTTGATATATTTTGCAAAAAACAACATCTTAAATCAATTATATACATGATGAAATCTAGAATAATTTAATTGAGAATCCAAGATATTTCAATTGCAGGCTTGCAGCTAAATACCCAACAGTAATAGTATTAAAATGGAATCCAAAAACCAAAACCAGTCATACCTGCGAATTCTGGACTTCAGATTTGAATTTGGACAAATTGGTATCTTGAATCATTTCATTCTGCCAACAAGCCAGACCCAAAAATTGAAAAATCAGAATAACATATTAAAACTTGCCTATACCCATAGTTTATTGAAAATGTTAAGACTTCAATAAAATTGAGCTAACTTGGAAAATTAAGCAATCAAATAAAGAACCTTACTTTTTGCATCTCTGCCTTTGATACAACCGACTGAGACACATTTTCCAAGCTGTCATTCAAAACTTCAGTTATGGCAGCTGTTATCGCCTCAGCATGCTTTGAGGGCAAGCCCTCTGCCTCCAATCTTCTGACCTAACCAGCAATCCAGTAACTTTAAATCAAATAAACTTCCATACAATCACACTCCAAGAACAAAAGAAACCAAAAATTTGCATTTCTGAAATTAATTGAAACAAAAAAAGGGGCGATAATTACAAGGGCTAACGTGTCAACAAGAAACACTCGCTTTCCGTTGCTTTTGACAAGCTGAGAAATCTGCCTAAATCGAGGAATCGAAGCAAAGGAATTGGAATTACAATCGAACGAAACACCAAATCCTCGATATCTTCCGAAAATGATTCCCGAATTGGTCCCAAATTGACGGACCCGCCTACAAACCGCAAAAGCGGACATTCGATAATTTGAAACAGGAAAATTAGACAAATTTCAAAGGATTCTTCAAATTGTCCTTCAAATCTCAACAATTCTTCAGAAAAACAAATAAAAATCAAATGAAGGAAGACAAAATTTGAAGCTTTCAAAAGGGAAAAAATAGAGTTGAATTGGGAACCCTAAAATAGAATTAAAGGCTATCGCTTGTTCTTGTTGTTAATTATAGTGATTGACTGGCAGCAATTGGAAGCGAGAAAGAGAGATAGAGATTTCGCGGTTGCTTCCTCGGGAATTTGAATGAATGTGAAACGTGCGTGTTCATTTATTTTATAGCTCTGTCTAAAAAAGCACTCTTACGTTCTACTAATTTTTTTCATTTTTGCTAAATCGTTGTCCTAGTTTCACTTTTTTAAGAGAATATTTTTAAAACTTTAGTATATTTTACTCTTATTTAATAAGATAGTAATATCTCCGTGCTATATACATTTAAGAAAAATAAATAGCGATTTATAAATTGAATTAAATTCTATATAAATATTAATATTTTAACCATGATTACTAACTAACTATTACATTCACTTAATATTTTAACTATGATTATTAATTAACTATTACATTCACGTTAATGTCAATATGAAGTCAAGTTTTAATATTACAAAAATTTAGATAATATAAGAAAAAATTTATAATTAATATTTAACATTATATAAAAAAATAAGAAACTAATATTTTTATTTTTATTTACATTGATTTTTGTTTACTCCAGTTTCCTTTACTATTTTTATATTAATTAAATAATATATTAAAAAAATAAAGAAACTAATATTTTATTTTTATTTACATTGATTTTTGTTTACTCCAGTTTCCTTAACTATTTTTATATTAACTATTTTTATATTAATTAAATAATTACAAAATATAATTAAGGTATTAAGTTAAATTAAATTGATATTTCGTCCATTTTTTATCAAAAAGAGAAAAAAAATATGATATATTGTTAAAAGGATAAGTGAAATTTTTTTTTTTTTTTAAGAAGAAATCAAACTAAAAATTTTATTAATTGAAACTGTATATAGATATGAGATACAAATTGATGTGTTTCTATATTTTTGTATATGAAATCTAATAATAAACCACTTATATAAGAATAAAAAAAGGCAATCTTGATTTAAAGTATTTGATCGAGTTGATAGAGTATAATATTTATGACATAGGCGATCGCTTGCTTCACTTGGTAGCTATTCATGGCCAATATACTTCATGGTCTTTCTACAAATCCGATTTGATTACCTTCAAAATTCTTCCTTCTATTGGAGATGAGATCTGCATTTCTTTCTCATAATTATCCAAATAATAAAAGACGCTAGACAAAATCATCATAATGGCGATAACTAAATTCTATATAAATATTAATATTTTAACCATGATTACTAACTAACTATTACATTCACTTAATATTTTAACTATGATTATTAATTAACTATTACATTCACGTTAATGTCAATATGAAGTCAAGTTTTAATATTACAAAAATTTAGATAATATAAGAAAAAATTTATAATTAATATTTAACATTATATAAAAAAATAAGAAACTAATATTTTTATTTTTATTTACATTGATTTTTGTTTACTCCAGTTTCCTTTACTATTTTTATATTAATTAAATAATATTAAATAATTACAAAATATAATTAAGGTATTTACTATTTTTATATTAATTAAATAATTACAAAATATAATTAAGGTATTAAGTTAAATTAAATTGATATTTCGTCCATTTTTTATCAAAAAGAGAAAAAAAAAATATGATATATTGTTAAAAGGATAAGTGATATTTTTTTTTTTAAAGAAAAAATCAAACTAAAAATTTTATTAATTGAAACTATATATAGATATGAGATACAAATTGATGATATTTGAGCGACAGTAACTCAGATCTATAAACAGATCTGAAGATTATTTGCAAAAAAATAAATAAATAAGGGAAATGGGTGACCACCGGTGAGAGCTCACCAGTGGCCCCCTATGGAAGAAGAAAAGAGAACTTTTAGGTTTTAGGTATTGAGAGAGAGATAGAGAGAGATGGAGAGCACCACAAAATTTCAAAAGGATAATTAAGTGACGTTAAAATGATAAAATATCAATAATAATTTTTTTTCCTCAATAATTTTGCCATTTCAAACAAAGAAAAATAAATTTATTTTCTTTCCTTCATCATTATCCAAATACAAGGTTGTAGAATAATTACGAAAAGAAAATTAATAATTCCACATTATTTCCCTTCATTATTTTCCTCCCTCTCATTTTCCAAACAAAGTGTTCATTTTTATATGTAAAATATTAATTTGATGTGCGTTACTATAATTTTTCAAACAATAATTTTCATACTTTAGAATCGAAGTGTTCGATGTATCAAAATAAAAGTTGAAGGCATTGTAATGTTAAAGTAACAAAGTTCAAGGATGAATTTTGTATTCCACCATTAGCTAATTCATAACTTTGATTGCCTTAATTATTGTATTAAAAATTAAATTAAATTTTGGAGGATTTCAAGGATAACTTAGCACAATAAGTCATTTAATTATAATAGAAAATGATGCATATCTAATTATAATTTTTGCTTAGTCATGATATTTCAAGCATAACATGCTACTTGATCATGTCTTAGCTAGTTCTTTTTTCTTTCTTATTATACTAAAAGTTTTCCCTCCGTCCCATTTTGTTTGCATGGTTTGACAAAACATACATATTATGAATTTAGTCAACAAAAGTTATTTTGTCCTTTTTTACCTTTAACTCATTAAAATATTAATAAAAGTCCTTCGTTTAATGAAAAATTATAAAAGTTATTATGGAAAAAATAATTATTTACATGTCTAAATTTAGAAACCTTACAAATATTTTGGAACATCCAAAAAAGGAATAAAAAGCAAACAAATACGATGAAAGGAGTAGAATAATATAAATTAATTTAATAATTAATATAATGATATAGTAAGAAAAAATTACGTAAAATTATAATTTAACTATATTAATTGCATTTGCATACTAAGGTATTGTCCAATAGTAAGTATATGTTGGCCCAAGGGTTAATTTTATCCTAAGATTTTCATGATTATGCAAAATAAATAAATTTAATATTATTGTATGTTCTAAAGTTATTTTATGCAGAATTTTTATATTGAAGTTATTGAAAAAATCAAGCTCCTATAATTTAAGATTTTTTATTAAAGACCATGAAGATTATTGAAGATCTTTTAGTGGTTAGTATTTTTTTTTTAAATCTTAGAAAATATTGTAGGATTGAGAGAATATTCCTTTATAAGCACAAAAATATTTTTATCTCTCTTAAAAATCATTTTAAGATATTTTCGAAGTTGCCTTAAAAAGAAAAGCTCAAATCATTCTTTTTATTACGCCTGCCTAAATTGAAAAAATTTTGGCAAAAATAATTTTTGGCAACTAATAAATGAGTAGTTGTAAAAGATTCCTCTGCATTATCTTTTTATTTTTTGAATGTTAAAGATACTCATTAAAACAAAAATTCAATGTCTTTTATAACGGGATTAATTTTTCTTATAAAAATAGTTTTTCTCTTTCGAAAGTGAGTGATTTTTGCAAGAGTAAGAGTCTATTGTTCAATGTTTTAAATCTCTTAAACCTCTTTGTTCGACCATCTTTTATTTCTTTTCATCTATATTCTTCAAGAAATATTTTTAAGAAAAAAGAAATCTGATAACTGTGAACCCCTTTCCCCAAAAGCACATAGGCATGTGATGCATATGACAAAAGAAAGAAATGCACGTGAGTGTGTGAGTCGCCACCTTGTTTAATTTGAGTGAGTGTGTGAGTCGCCACCTTGTTTAATTATTTTAGGGTAAACTAGGAAAAAAACCTGAATGACTCCATTTTTAATTAACCTAGTTACTAGATTAATTATCCCAATGATTAAGGCACAATCTACGAAATCGAGGTGGATCCCGAGACTATGTCATGCTGATAAACTAACCGATGAATGAGTGTTTTGCAAGGGTGAATGATGGATCAATGAAATGTTTAAGTGATTTCGACTTGCCACCCGGGGTGAAATCCCGAACGTGCCTACGTACTTCCATTTGAATGGAAGATCAAAGTCAACTTCGATAGGCCTTCTTTGAAGGGCTTTGAAGGGGTATGCTTAATGCATGAGTGTGTTATGCTTTGTGCATGGAGTGTTGTATATGCTTTGGTGCATGAGTGTGTATGCTTTGGTGCATTTGAGTGTAGTATGCTTTGTGCAATTTTGTGTGTATGCTTTGTGCATGCAGTGTGTGTATGCTTGTGCATTTTGTGTGTATGCTTGTGCATGATTGTGTGTATCTTTGTGCATTTTTGTTTAGCCATTTCGCCAAAGATTTTGCCAAAGGATCGATTGATTCGATTAGGCGTTCGTCGCCAAAAAGTTGGTTTTAAGGCATTTGTGCCAAAAATGGTTGTCGGGCGATTTGTTGCCAAAATTGATATTTGGGCTTATTATTGCCAAAATTGATGTTTGGGCTTATTATTGTCGAAATTGATTTGTCGAGCGATTTATCGCCAAAATGATTGATTTTAAGGCTTTGAGCCGAAAATGGTTGATTTTAAGGCATTTCGCCGAAATGAGTTGATTTAGGCAATTTGTTTGCCAAAAGTGTTGATTGGGTGATTGTCGCCGAAATTGATTGATTTAAGGCCTTTATTTAAGACATTTTGCAAATAGATTGATTTGTAAGCGATTTGTCCGGCTAAAAATGTGATTTTGGGCCTTTGTGCTCGAAATGTGTTGTTTTAGGCAATTAGTTTGCTCAAATATGTGCGATTTAGGCTTTTAATGCCAGCGATTATCGATTAATTCGGGCGTTCGCAGCAATCACAATTATTGTCGAGAAAGGATTGATAAGGCTTTTTGAGCCGACAGATTATTTAGATTAATGTGGACTTAAGCCAAGATGTATTCGAAATAAGGCAATTGAACCTGTACCTATTAATTAACTAGGCTCTTTTCAGCCAATATGTGTCGGACAGTTTTAAGCTTTAGATACCCACGATTTTGATTAACCCGGGCATTTTAAGCTTAATCAAGATTAATTTAAGGCAGTTTATTTACAAAATAAATAATGACGTGGTGCAACTTTATGGCAATTGAGAATTATTAAGAGTAAAGAGAATATGCAATGAAGTGCTAAAGATGTAAATGGCAGGGGTTTTGTTACATATCTGATTTTAATCGACGAACCGGCTTCTTATTCACAGATTTAAGCTCCTCACTTAGGAATAGTTAATTAATTTTAATTTGTTTGTTTTAATGTCGAAATATACA